TGTAAACAATCCAAAGCAATTAGTTCATGTGACCGAAACCTTTCCTTTCTGGACATGGGAAAAGCTTTTTTTGGGGTCAAAGTGTTGTGTTACTATTCCACTAGTCCTTCTGAGAAATGGAAAGAAATCGCGTTATTCGATTTCGAGAAATATGATTTCAAGCCTAGTTAGTAAAGTTGTGCCTTTTGATATCTTGTCAAAGATTTCACTTGTCTTTACTAAAAACGGTCAAACTCAATAATCCGATGATGAATTTTTTTTTAACTTCCAAGTCAGTTACTTTAGATAATGCATTCATATACCCTAAAGTTTCAAGTTCATTGAAATAATTTAAAACCGTCAAATAATATTCTCAATTCCATAAACATTTGCAACCGCTTTCTTCACTCGCACTTTGTTTATATCGTTACGCTTTTCAATTGTCCAGAATATTTCAATGAACTTGAAACTTTAGGGTATATGAATGCGTTATCTAAAGTAACTGACTTGGAAGTAAAAAAAAAATTCATCATCGGATTATTGAGTTTGACCGTTTTTAGTAAAGACAAGTGAAATCTTTGACAAGATATCAAAAGGCACAACTTTACTAACTAGGCTTGAAATCATATTTCTCGAAATCGAATGAGCCGATTTCTTTCCATTTCTCAGAAGGACTAGTGGAATAGTAACACAACACTWTGACCCCMAAAAAAGCTTTTCCCATGTCCAGAAAGGAAAGGTTTCGGTCACATGAACTAATTGCTTTGGATTGTTTACATTTTTGTTGCCCAAAAGTTCCRACAGCAATTATTTCGAAACGCCTCCATAGAAATCTTCGAAACTTCGTTAACTTGAAGACAAACATATGAACTTTAAGATCTGTTAAACAATTTTTAATACAAACGTCTGATTTCGCCAAAAATGGAATGTATAAAAAAATGACATGACGTCACTGTATTGCTATGGTAACTCCGATCATGATAAATTGTATATCATGTAAAACTTGAATCTATCTCTAGACATGTCATAATAATTTATTTGAAATTAACTTATTGGCAGCGACGCATTTCCCCTTCAAACTTCGAAGGTACGCCACAAACAAAACCCAGTCGAGCCACCTTAAACGGCTTAAAAAACTCCTGATGTATGTTCTCATACTGTAACGAAATGAACCAAGTTTGATAGAGAAAATTCAAGTTAAAGTTTATGCAAATGAAGACGAATCTATATCAGATATAAAACCTCCTTCATGGTCATGATTTCTATTGTGTTTCCTTCATGAATTATCAATGAGTTTTTTAATGTATTGTATTGTACTCTTTACTTTACCGTTGGTGTTTGTGAATATTTAGACTCAGACACGAGGCTAAGCCTGAGTAAATGAGTCTGTATTCAAGGAACACAGTGGTACTGTAATTTGGAACTCAAATATGGTCTATTTGTCAAACTTTTGTAAGGGAACACTTCCCTCTCTCCCCTTAGTGGTCCTGTCACTGGTGATTGACAGTAAAAAGTGAAAAAAGAAACTTTGGGATGAAAAGAAACCTCTGTTAGCAGGTCAAACCTGCCTCTCATTCCTTTAAAAATTACTGTTTATCCACCTTTATGGAGGTACAGTGTAGTTATGGAGGTATTACAGTGTGACTACTATAACCTGAGCCACCTAGTCAGGGAGAACCAATCAAATTGTAGAATGAAAATGATACATTCCAGCTTTGGGTTTTGGAGGTAATCAGAAACCAGCAGAAAACCTTTTGATGTATCTTTTTATTCCCATGAGAAAATGACAATGATTGCCTATCTAGTTGTGTACATTCAATTCAGGGTTAAATTACCATTCTTGAGTTTTCATTCTACAATTTAATTGCTTCACTGTCTTGGTGGCCCAGGTTATAGTAGTGTAATATTCCCAGTAGCTACAAACCGTTGAATATCTGATACCTGTTTCTTTCTAGAATAAAAAGAGATATCAATCTAATCCTTAAGGAGCTTTTACCTCCTGAACACAGCAACAGTGAAAAACCAGTAAAAGATAAGGATGGTGGGTAGAACTAGATTGATGATAGAAATGTGATATATGTTTTCAAGCAAATTTTTCTCGGAAACAAATTCTGAGCTCCAGGCTTCATGGATTGAAACCCATGACCTTCTGTTTGCTAGTTTGATGCTCTAGATGATATTCAAGCCTGCTTACTTAGGTTGAAAACTGATATTCTATGAATACATTCTGGATCCTGTTACTTTTTTTTGGTGTACTAACAACTGTAGTGGATAGAGTCATTTGTTCAGTTATTTTTATTGCTTTGAGGGTTTTTCTCCATTCCCTGAAGTTCTTCTCTCTTTACCAAACTCCACACTTCCTTGTGCAAGGGCAGATCCAGGGGGAGGGTCGGGGGGGTCGCGACCCCCCTGTCATTCCTGAGGTCAAATGGGCTTCCTGTGGTAAAAATGCGACTGGGATTCCTTTGCCCACAAAATTTACCCCTGAGACCCCCCCTTCAAAAAACCCTGGATCCGCCCTTGTTGGGGTACACCATATTTAATCTATGATGTTGATTGTTGAACTAGTCTATTTTCTCTTGATATGGGGCTAAAAGTGGGCTGGAGGACTGAGAAGAATGGTCAAAAAGTGTGGTACAATAGCCCCCTATATCTTGTCTCTCTCTCCCTTCTTGAGGTCCCTCTAGCCTCTTCCAATGGACCACACTTGCATGTGACGTCAACGCAGCTCAATTTGGAGGACAAAACAAAGGAATTCCAATCTCCTGAAAATTGGAAACCTATTGTTATGTCCTCCAAATTGAGTTGCATTCCGACGTACAGCTAGGGGTCTATTTAGCAATTATTCTCCGAAGGCGAAGTGAATGTCGGGGAATATTTACCGAGACGCGAGTCTTCGAGCAGCCAGGTAAATATTCTCCATATTCACTGAGCCTAAGGCGAATAATTGTTTTAGCATATACCAACTTGTGTACAGAGTAACTTATTTTTATATACAATAATTCAATAAAAACAAACAAACAGAAACTTTTAGTTTGCGTGACAAATTCACGCAAAACTTTTAGCAAAACTTTTAGACCATACTTCGTTGCCTTTTTAGTATTGATAGGAATGGCATTTACTTTCATTTTTTTCAATTTCCTCATCGGAAATTGTAGCAAAACGACTGCCGGCAGATGCCATTTTGTTGCTGACTCAATGTTGCGAGATTCAGAGGTGAATATCGTACAATATTCACCTCCAATTAACCAATGAGCGCGCGCGTTCTTAGGAAGCACACAAGTTGGTATATGCTAAAATTAGTTATCATTAATCTTTTTGCAGGTTGTTTAGTAATCATAGTGTCACTGCTTACCTCCTGTGTGCGAACCTGTAAATACTGTGTATCTAAGCTAACAGCACTAGAACTCATGACAACCTTGTCTCATCATGTCAGCGACGACATCATCTTAGAGAGGCTTCTTCCTTACATGTTGTTCATGGTAAATGACACTTTACCACAAATCAGAGCTCAGGCCATCAAGACACTAACTCACTGTCTGCATCTTGTCAAGAATATCACTCGCAGTGATGCCAATATCTTCCCTGAGTATATTCTACCTAGGTAACTGGTTTTGTCTCGCTAGAAAAAACAAATACAATATTCTTCAAAATTTTATATTATTTTAGTCCGTTTTTAATCATCCACAGGAGGATCCTGAAGGGAAAAAATTGGAACTGGGATTCGCCTTTTTTGGGCTGGGAAAATGGGATTTAATTTAAAAATTTAAAAAAACCCCAAAAAACAAAAAAACAATCAAAATATTGGGAATGGGGTTGAAATTTGAGCAAAGCATAGGCTGGGACTATGGGATTTGGTCAAAATGGGCTGGGAAATGGGATGAGGTCCCTACTACAGGAAGAGATTTGCAGAGAAAGAGGTCTATTGACCCATTTACTTTGGTTGCAAAGTTTTCCCATTTCAGACCGTTTGTCATTCCCTAGAGTATCATTTCTTTGTTTAACGGTTCACAGAAAAAAAATGAATATGGATACGACTCAAACAAAGAATTTTATCGAGAGAATAACACGTGGGAAGCACGGGTGGCGTAGCGGTGTGAGCGCTCGCCTCTCACCAATGCGACCCGGGTGCGAGTCCCGCTGAGCTCGGTGTCGTATGTGAGTAGAGTTGTTTGTTGGTTCTCTCCTGTGCTTCGAGGGTTTTCCGGGTTCTCCGGTTTTCCTCCCTCCGCAAAAATCAACTCCTAAATTCCGATTCGATCATGGAATGAGGGCAACAGGTTTGTTAGCCACTGGCTATTAAGTGCTACCCTCGTGAAAAAAAAGGACGTTTTTTTTTTGTTCTGAAATGGGAAAACATTACGCCCAAGGTAAAATGGCGTATTGAGAGGTTATAATAGAAATTCATGAGTTATTTCTCTTGTAGTTTATCGTGGTTAACACAAGATGCTGAGGTAGTAGTACGGCTAGCCTATGCAGAAAGTATTGCATCTCTGGCTGAAACAGCACTAAAGTTTTTAGAAATGGCACAACTGGATCGAAATAATGTGATTAAAGAGAACCAAGATGATACTCCAATACAATACCAGGTAAAGCAGATACTATCTTCAACATTTAACAGTACTCCCGGCGTACTCCAGACAATATAAAAGGGGCACTTGGATGAAAACGCGCCGATTTTTGAAAGTCCGAATAATTGAAGTATTTAAGTGAAAATTTTAGCCTGGGAGCCACTTGCTGTTGAGATATTTTGGGTGAAAAGCGAAAAGAACAATAGGGTTGAATAAATGACGTCATTTACTCACAATTTAGATGCTGAATAAAATTGATAGTTTTTCCCCGCTGCTTTTGACTGTGAAGGAAACATGTTGCTTGGCTACTATCTGGGCCATATAGATAAGTTTAAACAAGTTTCAAGTCATTTCCAATTTTCATTGATTTTTATCCTGCCTAACATTGAAAGAAAATTGACGTGAGCACATGAACTTGCGCATGCTCAAAGACTGCTGAATAAGCCTTTTCATAGTTTAAGAATCGATTCCACTGCGCATGCGATTTTATCCCGAATTTCTACCTTCTTTTGTCTAAACCTTCTTTTGTTCTTAATTAAACAAAAGAAGGTGAGAAATTCGGGATAAAATCGCATGCGCAGTGGAATCGATTCTTAAACTATGAAAAGGCTTATTAACATGGCAACCCATGAAGCCCTTCACGTTTTGAAATCCGAATTTTGCACGGGGCTCTATCATTTACTCGTACGAGTACTCTTGAATTGGTTTGGTTTGTCTCCGGGTCTCCGGTTTTCCTCCCACCGCAGGACCTAACACGCTAAATTTCATTTCGATTTGGGAGCTAGCTGTTCCCTGATAAGTCCAGGGGCTATTTCAAGGTTGTTTCAGTTTTTTTACAACCCCAGTATATTAATTTACGAGTATTCCTTCATTATGTATCTGGATTGTCATAACTTTGTTATTTAGGTAAATGTCATGAATCCTCTGTAGAGGTTTTGCACCATCACGTGGCATGCCCACGCCCATGTTGCGGCTTGGGCTGCCTGTGGTTAGATAGCAGAACAATAAAATCCCTTTGGTTTCGGGAATTGAATTTCTTTCTTATGTAAAACGGTTGAATTGATGGTGTAAAACCTCTATTCTATTGTACTAATCTTCATAATACCTTTTTATTGTATTCCAGGGAAGTTACGACACAGAGCTCCAAGCCCTTCACGAGATAATCCAACGTAAAGTAGTCACCTTACTGAGTGACCCAGAAAACATCGTCAAACGAACATTACTAGAGAATGGTATTACTCGCCTTTGTGTGTTCTTTGGTCGACAAAAAGCCAACGACGTTCTTCTCTCACATATGATAACCTTTCTGAATGACAAGTATGACTGGCAGCTACGAGGAGCGTTCTTTGATAGTATCGTAGGGATAGCTGCGTATGTTGGTTGGCAAAGTATCGCCATGTTACGACCGTTGCTGGAACAGGTAGGCTTGGAGCTCAAATCTCACCATCCACGGTGTTAAATAAACCTCCACGGCTCGATCGTAATGTTTTCCCAGACTCGTACCCAGTCACTTCTCTTGTCTTATTGATCTTACGCTGTGGTTGATGGGAAGGATTTAGTTAGTTCGCGGTGCATTCACTTTTTCTCTCTCCTTCCCAAAAGCYATCGCGCGCATTAAAAAAGTGTGAGTGACGACTGGGTACGAGTCTGATGTTTTCCCATTTCAGACCACGTTTCAATCCCTCAGTTAAGAATAAGACTCTTTGTTTGAGTTGTATCCATATTCATGTGTCTTCTCATGTGCAACCATTAAACAAAGAAATGACACTCAAGGGAATGACACCTCTGAAATGGGAAACATCACGCCAATCCGAGGAGGTCTACTGATTGAGCTGCTTCTTGGCAATAGTCATACTGTCTACTGTCATCCATGCAGATCAAAGGCTTCTCCTTACCTCCTCTCCCCTCCCCCAAATCAAGGCTCTGCTTAGAGGTCCCCTTATACTTTATTGTCCCACCTAAAATGTTGACAGCCATTTCTAATGAGAAAATATAACGACAAAAAATGATACACATGTTGGATTAAGGAGCAGCAAAAGAAGTACTCGGTAACAATTAATCTTGGTGTAAGAGAAAATGAACATTTCCTCTCGCTTGTCGTATATAATCCTTCACAGAAACTACGAGAATTTTGATGTAAAAATGGTTGGGAAAAATTCTTTCATTTTGTACAATTTCTTTTTACGTGTAAATGATAACGACACGTTAACCATGCTTTTTCTTCCTCATTCAAGTTGACCTTGATCACCTCCGAACAGAAATACGAAATTATATTTGTAAATTATTTCATACTTGAAACTTTGGAATAACCCCTCTGATGCTTTTTTTGGCCTTCCGTCCTCAGGGCTTGAGTGACACAGAAGAGTTTGTAGTTTGTAAAGCCTTGAATGCCTTGACTTGTATAGCTGAGCTTGGCTTGCTGAGGAAGCCTACGCTACTGGAACTTGTTTCAGAGATTGTTCCTTTTCTCTGTCATCCGGTAAGCTATGTTATTCGCCATAATCACTGAGCCTGAGGGGAATAATTGTTTTAGTATGATGTTGGACTAGAATATCAGAGAAAAGTCAAAATTAAGGATAAAAAAACGTTTTAGTATTACTTCGATCCTCTGGCAAACTTTGGAAAACCTCATATAATCACCACCCGAGCAGTCATAATCGTCTCCACTATAAACACTCGTCGCTTGACCATTCACAGCGCGCAAAATRGTCTAAAATTATACTAAAGACGTATATTTTAAATCCATCACTCCCTACAAGGTGCCCTCCCGTGAGGATTGCTCCACACGCACTACTACTACTACCATTAGCATTAACAACACACAAAGCTCAACTCGTGTTGATTTTTACTGAGGAAAGAAAACTTGAGAACCCGGAGAAAAAGCCTCTTTGTAATTGAGAGAACAAGACAAACTTAACTCACACATGCAGTTCACTGGAGATATGAACTCGCGACTCCAGGCTTGAACTGCACGGCGGGAAGAGACAAACAGCGCTTGTGGTGACTTTTGACAGAAGTAAGATAACCTAATACAAGCTTACGGCACATGCACTAGGGGCTGGGAAGTACGAAAATTAGGACAATTTTACTAGAAGAAAAATTTCGCATCCGGGCACTTTTTGGCCTCACTGAAGGCTGGTAAAGTGGTTTATAAGATTCATGATTCAGAGTGTTGAAAGCACAGGGAGCCCAATTTATGAAAATACTTTAATATTCTGTTCGTGTTGTAGAATATGTGGGTTAGATATGGTGCTGTGGGATTCGTAGCAGCCGTAGCACGAACCCTGAACGTAGCAGATGTGCACTGTCATTTGTTACCTTTGCTGCAGTCGTTCCTCAAACAACCTGTTATACAAGTTGACCAAGAGGTAAGAAACAGGATCTTACATGATTCTTTTCGACCTGTGCTGAATAATTTGCCACTTTGTTCCCTTCAAACCTACCCTGGGGTGTAGACGTTATTTATTTTCTCTCCAGCAACCACATGAAGATTAAGTGAGAATTCTTTTCGTATTCAAGCAGTGAGCGCCAAAAACTATTTTCTTGAAGAAAAGCTGTTGTACAAGGCTAAAATATCGTTATTCAGAAAGTTTGGAAACTTGTTTGGAAGTGGAGATGACCGATGAGAGTGGAATCAAAGTGTTAACCCAAAGCAAAAATTTCATTCGAAAATGAGGTTTAGGCCTTCATTTGCTTATTGCCCATATATTTTCTATAAAAAAGCCTGACAAAGATACATTCTAACACAAATGCAACAAAACATCTTTGTACAATTGAAAATACCGCTTCAAACAGGCATTTTATCATAGTACATAGTTTCTAACTGTTTAAAAAAGGTTTTGAGCGTTGACCCAAAACGAAAATTGGGATCAAAAATTCATACTAGTTTTTGGCGCTTTTTGTCATTATTGCTCGGTATTGAAAAAAATTTCCTCTTCATAGAAACTCTGAAGCTCAGAGCACTTGAGCCCTTCCAGATGATAACACTTGCTTCAGGAATGACTAGTACTTAGAATGACCTCGGTACTTCTAGTGACTTAACTGCCAGATATGAATTTTGAGTGGGGCTTCATTCCAAAATCAGTGTACTTTTTATGTGAGGAGCGGAAATCATGAAATAGCACACCGTCTAACCCTACGATCTGCATGTACCTCACATTCTATGCTTCTATAGGTCATTCTTGTAAGCTTGCTGAAAGAACCAATCAACAGAGCTGTGTATGACTTCGTCATAAAGTCGCCACAGATCGGCGTGCTGTTTGACAGGTAATGAAGATATTACTAATGATAATGATAACATTTGCTTTGATGAGTTCGAAACTGGCATTAGATGGAAAAGATCTGTAAGCGTCCGTGCCCATGAGGCTTGGCGATCTATAATCTTTCAAAAACCCTCTGGGCTGATCAAGGTAAGAGCACGGCCAACTCACAGATCGGAACCTGAAACAACCTCTGGGTCGATCGATATAAGTCAGGACACGGATAACCCACAGATCGAACCCTGAAACTACCTCTGGACTGTCCAAAGTCAGGGCATGGCTAACTCACAGATCGGAACCTGAAACAACCTCTGGGCCGATTGATCTAAGTCAGGGCATGGATAACTTACAGTTCAAACCCTGAAACTACCTCTGGACTGTCCAAAGTCAGGGCACGGTTAACTCACAGATCGAATTGGAATTTAGCCGGTAGTAGGTTAGCATTATGGTCCTTTATCACGCGGCAGCCATTTTTGTTTAAACAATAAATTCCACCACGCGTATAGCCTCGCATTCAAGGGCTTGAGAACAAATTTATTCGTTTAAAACAAAGGTTTTTATTTTGATGAGAATGAATAAGATCCATCTTATCATGGTTTTGTATTTGACAGTCTTCAAGAACGTCAGCGACGGCGCAGCGTCTGTCGCAGTGGTCAGCGGCCAACCTACCCCGAGACTGAAGAAGTCCTTGTTCCTCTGTTTCGAAAACTCCATTCACAAGGGGTGACAGAACAAGACGAAGACAAATTGCTGTACCTGAAGGACATTATGCTGAAACTACATCGAGCCAAAGTTAGGTACTCACTTGACTGTTTTTTCATTTGCACATTGTTTTGTTGTGAAAGAAATTACTCTGATACCTACTGAATGAAAACGAGAACAAAAAGTTGGTGGAAGAAGTACAAAAAAATAAATAAAACTAGGTAAAAAATGCCCACGCATAAAAAGTGAGAGTCAGCTTTCTTACTAGCTTTGGTTTGAACTGCAGGAGACTGAAATAAACTGATCCATAAACCTATCACGTGTTGGTTTGACAACAGTCAAACTGGTCACGTGTTGTTTGAAATCAGGCATACACTGATCACGTGTTGCTTAGAAATCACCCACAATCTGATCACGTGTTGGTTTGAAAATTTAAGTGCTTCAGATCAGCCCGATATGAACGACACAACAGCAGAGGGCGAGATAGACCTGAAGATACGAGGTAAAGGTGTAATGAAAAGACATGCTGAGCTGCCCAAGACAAACGATAGCAAGCTTGAAAATACCGGGACCAATAAGAAAGGGAACAACAAGAACAAGAAACAACCAGTCGATCTTCAAATGGTGAGGATTATTTACTGATTCACTCGACATGTCAGCCATTAAAATCGACATCCGTGGCTGACCGGAAAGATACATTGTTTTCCTTAGTGTATTATTAGGTGCATAACTTTAGATTATAGTTATTGAAAAGATAAGTGGAAGAAGGAAGGGAGGAAGGAAGGAAGGAAGGAAGGGAGG